GGACCAATCGGGAGATGTACTCGACAAGATACAGAAGGTTTCATTTCGATTGGTCCATCCGTCTCGGAGTACTAATATACTGATCGAATTGAGTAACCTCCACCTTTTTCGAAGTCGGTTAATCACGGGAACTCGAGCATGAGAAGACGATGTAGACAGTTGTCAACGTGTCTGCTCGTTAGAGCAACGACTAGCCGCGGATAACGTTATCTGGAATCGCGAACGAGTCGGCTAATATCTCTTTTTCGGCATCGTGCGTACGATACGTTGCTATATAATTACTAGTGTACCGTCGCGTCGTAGGGTTGTTTCGTCGGTGGAAACGAGCGGAGTTCCTTGTTATTCGAGTAATTTCAGTCGAAAAGGCGCGCACACGATCATCAGATAGCGATACCAGCTAATGACGACTAATTTGTAGTTAAACAATTAAAACAATAATGAGCGGCGAACTTTTATGTCGTCAAATCTTATTAGGTTCCTTATGTTTCTAAATGAATCATTTAAAATATGTACCAATTTAACTGCAATAGTTAGTTGATTTAGATTCTTTCTGTTCGGTGAAATTTAAATTAAAAAACAAGGGGTTTTGTTACTTTTGGAAGGGGCCACATAGGCGTGTAGAGGCGCGAAACTTTTACCCCCTTTTCAAAGTTGAAACAAAGTCGGATCGCGTGACCAGAAGGCGTGCCACGTGGTACGTTAGGCGACCAATCGGCTTCGAGAGGCGATACATGTACGTGTACCTTTGATGTTTCCAGTCACGTGACCAAAGAACCAGCCTCGATATCAATTCGTGACACGCTAAGTACGCGATCGCGTGCCAGGTTCTGTTTCGCGGTGGTGGAGCTTTAAGGACAACGCTTCCAACTTACACCCCTTTTCCAACCCTCTTTTCGGTAGATCGTTGAAAACCGTCGTAGAGGAGGTTTGGTCGTTAACGATTTTTTCCTTAATCGCCTGGACGAATTTTTTGGATAGATTCTAGACGGATAGCGATCCGAGTGTCAGCCTGTTTCGCTGTTATCGTCTTTCCTCATAGTCAGACTTCTGTTATAATTTCATATCACGAATCATGATTTCGTGTTTTATTTTCAGCCTGACGGCTATTTAGGTTATGAAAGTTTAGGGAGATAGAATTCGTCGATGGGGTGGAGATAATCGAACACCCTGCTGTTTTCTGGAAGCTGATTGGTTCGGTTACTTTCTACCTGTGTTATTTCAGGTATTGATTGTTCGAGATTGGATACGGTGGGCTCAAGTAAATTCTCGTATCTGTTGAAATTAAATGACAGGATGGGATCGATGCTAACTAAACGAGGGTGAAATTTTTATAATGATGATAAGTTTAAAGTAACGGTTAATTTTGTTTCACAATTGTTTCTAAGGTGTTGTAGGTAATTGATTAATTATTTTTATTAATTATGAAAATTTAAGAATTTTTATAAACTTGGCCGATTATGAAGTTTACAGCACTCTCGTTTCCTCAGACGAAATTTGAGAAAAGGAAAACAGAATTTCTCGCTGGTAGCATTGAATTATTGTTTGAATCAGGCACACGATCGATTCGAATGGCTTTCTTTCGATGGTCAACGGACAATCGCGATCAATCGCGAGATAAATCGTGCATGATCATCCATAAGTGGTTACGCTTTCGATAGTGTCAACAGGAACAAGTTGTTAGGTTGGAGGGGCAGCCTGGCGCGTCAGGCCCACCCCAGGATTCCGGAGCGTTCGTGATGGATGATCGCAGATATGGTGAAAAATGGTGATGGATGAAATCTCGTCGGCTATAAACATTGACGGAATCTGTTAGGTGAATTGTAATAAGTTATCCCGCTGCGCGTCTTAATAAAACAGACGTTTCGCAAGCTATCGACCTGGCGAATTCTGTCTCGCCTATCGGTCGTCCATTCATTTAAAACCGATTTGTAAACGTTCCATTCGAATGCTAATGGAATTGATGTGTTTCTACACGTAATAGCGTTAATAAAATTCAAACAATCAGACTGAAACTATCGCTTACATGCTTACACATACAGGGTCGTTCAAAAATCATGAAAAGGGTTGAAATTATAATATTTTTTTTATTGAAAAATCTGTACATAGAATTGTAGGACTTCTTATAATTTTTTTTATAACGTATTATTACACTTTCGCGACTCGCGTACGGATTATAAAAAATTCCAAATGAATGTTGGTAGGAAAAATGTTAATAACGATGATACTAAAGAACCCTAACGAGCTGAAGTCACCGCGATCGAAGCACCGTCGCAATTCGCGGTTCGACGAACGAACGATGCGAGATGATGGTGGCAAAAAATTGGCAAGGGCGGACGAGATTTGATTCCCGGTGACGTATTAAATGTGTGGTAGCAGCCAGTGGTGTCAGGGGGATTGCTTTAATCAGTAGATTAATTCGTCATGGCCTCCGCCGCGTAGCAACGTCCTTTGTCGGCCGGCCGTAAAATATGAGCCAACGTACATAATCAACTATTTGTGGTAATGAATATTATGCGGCCGGCGCGCGTGTCATTAATAACGTCCGAGGCTGTACCGCGTAATCTGCTTTTTTTTTTTCTTCTGCTTCTGAGCGTGCATTATGCCCGCGTGTGAGCGCCAAAATCGTGAAGAAAAACTGTGCTTTGCATGCTTACGTGTTTCTACGCCTTTCATATTAGGGTACTTTGATAAGAAACAAGGAGAGATTCGTGCGACAAAAAGTGTAAGCCTTGGAGTTTCTTTCTTGGCCTTAAAAGCAAAGCTTAAAGGCTGAGAGTGTATAAGGGTTGATGATGAGTTTGATGGATTTCTTCGAAATATTCCCTCAGGTGAAACGATTACCACTGCGATCTGGGAACTAGGTTGATGATAATAAAATAATTCAGGAAGATAGTTGCTGATGGGTTTAATAGGTTTCTTGGAAATTATTTAACCAGTGAGCCGACCCTCGGATGAATTTTGAGTTAAACATTATTAAAAAAGAATTTCACATTGGCTCCTGTTTCCATCATCCAAGCTGGTCCAAGGACGTAAAGTGAGAACAGCTTTGGCCCGAATAACATCCCTCCTGGTTGAAACTCATAGCCAGTGAATAGCCAGCTAGAGGGATCAGGTTGGCGAGCTTTCGGTGGCCCTCAACGGATATCGTGGCTCTCTTTCCTTGCCACCAAACTCTCACCTCTCGGTTTAACCCCTCCTGGACAACTCCCCGCGGCGAAAAGACAAATGAGCCCGAGGTGAGAACTTGCCCGATAAATACCAAAGGCGACACACTGTTTGACCAGGGAGCATACAGCGTGGACCGGCAAGAAATACTGCGTCGGACGGTCCTCCAGCCCTTTTCCTTTGCCCTCTGTGTATATTGGTGTGCGTTCGTTTGTGTGCGTCCATGGCCCGTGGCTGCTTCCGTCCTTCACCCATGCAGGCCATACAAACAACCCTCTGCTTGCACCATGGCCACTGTTCGTTGATGAATTGTTTGTTCGTGGGATTTCCTCGTGTTCTAACTTTGTTTTTCTTATGCACCTTTAACAGTGCACATTCCTCAGTGTTATCGATTGGTTTTTAAACGGATTTACTTTGGGGAGGTTTCTTTGAAATCCAGAAGTCAGATTTGATTTCTGGTTGCAAATTATTTTTATTAAGTCAGAGTTCTTTTATTTTGATGTTGCAATTTATTAGGTTAATTGGTATCATTTGAAAAATTATTTTGGTTATATCGCACGAGTTGGCGAAGGTAGCGAGAAGATTCATTCACCCTCTGTCCGTAAAAGCTTGCGAGTGCGTGCCACGGGAATCTCTTTTCTTCCGGGGCAAACCGTGTCCGGGCGCCGCATTAATTTCGTGTATTTAACGGGAATGAGCTAAATGTCTGCCCGGAAGGGTTCCTCGTAACCGAGTGCCATTTGCGGGACCTCGAGCGAAGAACGAAGATCCTTTGTTTCCCTTCAGCTATGTTCGAGTCAATTTAAAGAGCCCTTTAAATTAATAAACCACCAGAGATTAGTGATTTATCCCTTTTGTGATTTCTTTCTTGAGTATCAAGCGGATTTCTTGAAACGACGCGACGAAACCTTAACGTGGGTTGAAAATAATCGAAAGAAAAATGATGAGAATGATCTCGCCAACGGATTCAGGGTCGCCGATACCGACAAAAAGCAGTGTTTTTCCAAGAGCGAAAAACTATTTTGTGCTTTTACCCGAGCGACTCTGACGACACATCATTTTTCAACGGCACCCTGTCAGACGATCAGACAAGGAGAGGCGTAGCGTTGGTAGCCGACGTCCACGTCAAACGTCAACGCAGTCTTTGATTCTTTATTTTTTTTTACTTATTCTTCTACCCTTTCTTCTTATTCTGTATTCTCTATACCGGAAGTACCATCCGGAAGGTCGGTGATGCACGGGTCTTAGACTCTTCCCTTTATGAAATGAATGCTCTTCGTTTTTCCAAGGTGAATTTATCTTCAATTATTCAGAAAAATGTTATAAATCGTATACTTTTCGAAAAGTTCTAATTGTCAATCGATTTAGAGAAAGATCGCAAGTGGCCCCATAGACTGGGCATTGGTTTTCGTAGCAGCCTTCGAGAGGCGAGCGTAGGTGATGGATGGATGGGCTTCTGCTCGAACAGTTTCGTCTATACGAGCCACGTACCGTTTCCCCAATTAAACAATTGCATTCGCATCCATCCATCCGTCTGTCCCGTTTGTGAGATCGTGGCAACGGGACCCTCTCCCTTCCCTTTGTGTTTCCCTTTGTTCGACTCGTTTCGTTTCCGTTTTTCTTGCCTTCTTTTTTTTTACGAAGCTTGTACATCCTGTCCACGGAGATTGCCGTCTCGAAAAAATGGTTTACAATTAAATTGCACCGGGCTACAATACGGCAGCTACGTGACAGTGGATCGGAAACGATCGCGTAATTTGTACTTGAACGCCTCAATTTCATGCAAATGCATCTGCCCGCCAATTTCGTACTAACCATACTTATTCTGTTTTCAGGTTCTTTACGAGAGGACGAGAATTCGGTCAGCGATTGCGAGGAATTTTAAACGATCCGAGGACACATAGAGGCAGTAGGAGCATAGAACAATTTTTACGTAAGAATAAATTACTACTTTATGACGCTGAATGCTATGATAATCATCGATGATCGACACCAGAAATTCAACATAGGTAACGTAACGATTGAAAATAATTAAAATTTTAAGTAGAATTAATATTACATCAATTTCGCAAGGTGCCAAATGAAAAGTTTAAATTATAAAATAATATACCTCGTTTAGTACAAGTGTACACACTTGTAAAGGGTTATAATATCAAAATTTTCCATGTAAATATGTAATTGGACATTCGGTATTATCCGAGGCACGCAATAACGACGTTCCTTCGATGAAATAACGCGAAATTGATGGTCGAAGCAAAAAATCACCGGCCAGCTACGAAAGAGAGACGAAGATAGAAGACGCGATGCAACGGCGTGTAATCCGTAATCATAATTCAAGGTGGCTACCGGTTCCGTTGTAACCGATGACTGCTAGCTGGCCCGTCACGTCTCCCCGTCCATCTCCTGAAATCACGGCTCTCCACGGAATTTTATGTAAAATCCAATGCGGCTGTTAGTTTATGCAGGTAGCATACATTGGCGGTGGTCCCACGAACGTGCCCTACGTACCAAACCTCGCTCTTCGCCACCCTTTTTCTCTCGTTTCTTTCCCTTCGTCACCCCTCCACCTTCTGTTCCACCTTCGACAACCCTCGATCCCGATTCGAAGCGATTTCGAGGCGTGATTTAACCATTCCAACATTCATCCTTCGCTTCCTAATATTTCTTGCTGGTTTCAAAAATTTGGAAATTAACAAACTATTCGTACCCTTAATAATTAATTAAAGCTTCAACGATTGAAAAGGGGTTAAATTCCTAGTGTCGGTCATCAGATCTTTATATCGCTCGAATGACAATATGTCACATTGTTTCAAAAGATTGCCTTAATATCCGTTTATACTGGATCGAGGCTCGCATCAGGCACGACCGATCCCTCTTCCCTCTTGGTCGAAGAAATTTCGCCACGCTACCATGGAAGCAGTTGGCGCGATCTGTGAGCAAAATCTTCCGGGGCTGTTCGAGAAGGAGAGGAAAGTAAAGGAAGAATGAAGAGGGAAAGAGGAGAAAGAAAGAGGTTCGCTCGTGCGACGAGGTATACAAGGTTGTAGCATGGTACCGGTTACATGCAGCCGGCTGTAATAGGGTGAGAGGAGCCGTAGGGTGAGCAGCCTCGGACTTGACTAATGAGGCGGCGCGTCCTCGACGTTATTAGATCGCCGAAAGAGTTTTTGAGGATGGCCCGGCTCCGTCCATGGACGAATCCACCGCGAAGGATGGGTAATGATACGGCTGGACCCCGTTTCTTATTTGTCAAACGTCAGCCGCAAAGACGTTGCCCGGTTGTTTTTGGGCCAGAAGGAAGTCTTGCCTCTTCTCGGAATGATAATCTACTTGCAAATGCGACCGGCTATCTTTCTTTCTCTTCTACCGCAACACGTTCCTCTCTCCGTTTCTCTTGTTCATGCCGTGTTTGTTCTGGCCGCTGTGTAACGGGGATGAAGGAACGTTGAAGGAAGCTGGGCCACGTCGCTTTCCGCAGCCTCTGTTACGTAATTATCAATAATCACCAGGTTAAGGGACACGTCGGGGGAGGGAGGAAAGGGAAACGGAGCTGGTAGCTTGAAATTAAGCGTTTCCACGCGAGGCGGTTTTCTTTATCATGTAGATTGCTCGAGGGAATTAGTTTGTTGGTTAAATCACGCGATGGTATAATAGAATTCTCGATGAATTTGCAATAGATAATGAATCATATTTTTGGTAATAAGTACGTTAATTGTTGAGAAACGAAAGGTATGCGAGCAAGTCGTCGTTCCGAGACGGGCAACGTCGTGTCGGTACTCGTTGCACCTTAATTAACGTTTTAATTGTATCCTTCATGTATGAACAGTGGCCGTTCCACTCTGCGATGCACACTAACAAACCTAATTTCCGTCTGAAGAACGAAACCGCGTTCTTATCTGCCAACACGTCGCTGAACATGCTTACTGATTTCGTTATTTCATTCTGGAATTAATTCATTCTTATCTTTCTTGTTACGAAGCTTCTGATCAAATTCAAGTCCGAAACCTATGATCGTTGTTGAGATTCGTCGCGAGACCCAAATAATCCCTCACATGGATGGAAGTTAACGAAACAGGAAACGAGGTATATTAAACGGGTAGATCGAAAGAAGAAACGAAGAAGAAACTCGAGGATAAGGAGTGGGACGAGGTCGTGAATATAGTGGGAAAAGGGGAGAAAGAAAAGAAAAGAAAAGAAAAGAAAATAAAATAAAATTAAAAAAAAAAAAAAAAAAAGAAAAAGAGGAGAAGCGAGTCGAAAAGGGCAGCCGTGGTAGAGCCGCTTTCGCCTCGGCGAATGAAATTGCCCCGGCAATCGGTGGTTGCTTATTAGCGTTTGACGTTCGATTAGTCAAGTGCACCGTCCAAGATCCGCCGTTTGAAGGCTCCGTGGCTCCTCCCATTACCGGTTCCCGTGGGTCCTGTTCATCGGCCAACAACCACGCGTCCACCAGGCGACCGGGCACAACCGGGCACGTAGCATCATCATTCTTCTGCCATCCGAGAGAAAAGAGAGTCTTTCGCGTTCTCCGAGGTTTGCGCGGGCATACCTTGTAATTACGTTAACCGTACTACTGCCAGCAAGGTAATAGCACGAATTAGTTGCACTTCAATGTTTCCTTCGATGCGTTCGAAATCTTCTTCGCCAGTCTTTTCTCTTTGTATACTTTACCGCATTCCACGGCTTCGTCCACCATCTCTTGCGATACTTTTTCCCTCCGGTCACGCTGACATCCAGAGATTAGGAGAGTTTCTTGTCCGCTTTCTGAATCCTCTTAGGCGGAGGAGGTTCTGCTGCTTCTTTTATCTTCTTCTTTCGTTTAATTTAACGAGAGGCTTTTTCCAATCGTAATCGTCTACAAATATTTGCAATAATATTTCAATATCCCATGCCAATCTATGCTCAAGCACTCTCCAGGTCTTCTTAGATCGTTGTTCGAGGAAAACAGACAAGATTCCGTCCTGAAAGAAGGTAATTTATAGCTGGGAACGGGGAAAAAAGCTCAGCTTCCCGGAGTACAACGCGTTATTAATACGTTTTAAAGAAATGTCCAAGATTAATTTGCGAAACGAGTCGCTATTGAAGTTCTTGCCCGCGGCCTCATTAATCTTATCCAGAGAGCAGGGAGACAGAGAGGGGTGGAGGGAAAAAAATTATTTTGTAGAATGTTCGGTGTAATAACAGGGAATCCTGTCGCCGGCACGCCTAGCCAGGGAACACCGTCCCACTATTAATTCATGTCTCAAGTTTTCAAGTAAGAAATTAATGTCTCCATACGTGATTCGTGGATCCCCGTGGCCGACTCTTGTTCTTTCTTCAGGGTGGTTCGTTGTTGAAAACTTTCCACTCGAACGATATTAATATGTCTGAGTATTTCGTTGAGCGCGAAACTTCTTTAAGAAAAAAAAAAAAAAAAAAGAGGAAGTAGAAGGAAAGTAAGCTTTCTTGTACGTTCACTTGGTGCTATTTTAATAATAATAAATCAAAGATAAAAGAATGAAAAATATTAAATGATATTGACGCGAATTCTTTGTCCGATAAAACGAAGAACAGCCACGTCATTAATCACTGTACGCGTTGTCTCTTAAGAAACACTTTTCTTTGTCAACTGGACGTATTTATTCGACGCTTGAGGTAGCCGAGCATCGCGGTAGGTAAATCCTGGTTGCGTAGGAGGATCGCAGCTGGACGAACGTACGAAAAGCTCGATCCAATGGAAAGCAAGTAACCAGAGAAGAGTTTTAATTCCATGGTCCGAACGTCGTGGGTTTATGTACGGTTCGCTCTGGTGGCGTTCTTTTTGAAAAAGCGAACGCCGAGATAATGGAACGTAATGTAGCGTGAACCAGCGCCGCTACCTTGCTTCAGCTTTTAAACGCGTCGCGAATATCTATACCGGGTGTTCCTCAAATAAAGCGCAATATCGAATTTTACTGTACAAATTTCTAACGACGATTCTTGAAATCGTACGATGATCACAGAAACTTTGAGATCCATAAATTATAAAATGATGAGGTGTAAGCTTCTCCATCATTCGTCGGTTGTTTCACGTATGAAATTCTTTAAAATCATGTTCCCCGATAAGCATCCCGTAGTCAAATCGCTTCTTGTCAAGTTTAATCCCATCGAGTATCAAGGAACCGGTTCTTTTAGTCGGTAATTGCAAAAAATCCGGCATTTCTTCGCCGTCCACCCGGTAGGAAAGTTTCACGTGTGGGGTACCTTAATGATGCACCCGGTTGGATCTCACGAAAAGTCCACTCTCATCGTGCATGGTGACCAGCCATTGAACGAAGTTTTTTGCTCGACTCCAAGTACAAGACAGAGCCAGAAAGGAGAGCAATCATTGATACTCGATCCTCATTCACCATCTTTATAAAAAAATTTCAGTTTTCCAAAAAATCATGCGTACCATTGTTCCTTAAAATTCTAAATTATAGAAAGTTCTCTCTGAAAGCGTAGGGGTAGCTCTAGCGTGAACTCGGCTATTTCTCGTTTGGCAAAGACTCGCCGAATTCGAAATCATAATTTTAATGAAAGCGGTACGCGAACTCCGAAAATAATGGTCAACATTTCCTGCCCGTATTATTTCTGGGAGGCGCGGCGGGGGTGCAGGGATTTACGGGAAGCGAATGGAAGCAGAAAATTAACGATTCCAGGCAGAACGGTGGATGGGGTAGGGGTTGGGGCCCGCTGGAAGTTTTTCTTAGTATTTTAATATAAATGCGGCTACGACGGCCGACTTGGCCTCGCGCGGGGAGGGCCGGTTGTTTGCGGCAGTTTGTGCCAAGCTAAATGAAGAATGAAGCTGAAATTATTTGGTGGAAAACAGTGAAACAGGATGTGGAAACGACACCGCGTAGATTTACAGAGGCTGGTGCACGCGTCTCGGCCCGGGGGGGCTGGAACTGGACGAGGACAAGAACATTTTTAAACGGGTCTCCATCTCCTCGTCTTTCTTTTACGCTGGCAATTATAATTTTTCGCCAACTGGCGAATCTGATAGATTCATGGCCCTCTCATTAATTTCCATCTTCCTTTCTGTACGGATCTTTCGTTTCTTCGATGAAAATTCAACTTGTAGGATTCCTAAAAGAAACCACGATGATCGAGTAATCGAATAATATTTTTAAAGGTTTGAAAGAGAAATGAAAATTTCCAAATTAGAAATCAAAGAATTTCCATTGTGGCTGGTGCATAGTTTATCCGAAGGGATGGTTCATTTGACCCACCCTCGAAGGGGATGCAAGTCGTGGTATCTTTAATCAGTAGCGATGAGAAAAATTGACGAGAATGCTCGAGAGCTTCTCTCTTTCTTCGTTCTTGCTTCATATTCGCGCCGGAAGTATCCCCCACCCCCATAGTCGACCAAGGGAAGTACCCCTTACCCAACGTTGGATCCTTAGCTTTTTACCGGGAACCAATAATGAACTTTTTTTTTCCTCGGTATAAAACTTGATTTGTAACAGCCTCTCTTTCCACCCCTTCCTTTCTTCTCTGTCTCAGCCCTCTCGTTGTTGGCCTAGCAAGCACCCCTAAAGACGGCGAGAAGCGTCTCATTCTCGGTTGCTGATATCACTCGCGGCATTGCTCATTACTCACGCCGTCTTATCATCCTTACCCCCCATAGAGACACCCTTGCTTCGCTTACCACACCTTTGCCATACTTTTTAGCCGTTCCTTTCTTTTTTCTGATTCTTACAAAATCCTGTTTCGACCACTTTTGGAAGGGGAAGCATTTAAAGCTTGGTTTGCGGTTGACAGTATTATTTTATTGTATATATTCTGTATATAAAAAAAAGAAAATTGTACAAAGAATAGTAAGACAAGATCTAATTTGATCGTTCTTTTTCCTATAGCTGAGGTACAATCGTTGATTTCCGTCCCTTTTCAGAACCACAGCCCCTTCGAATCGTGTATCACCTTCTATCTCAACCATTACCAGATTTCGTTAAGGTTGAATCGAACTCCTCCACCTCTCTCGTTCAACTTTCAACCACGATGTTCGCTCGATAGATCAATTGACAATGTTAGTACCCAAGCAATCGTTGCCTTCTCTTCTTTCAGCCCTATCTGCCTGTACGAGCATTAAATTTACTGCGCCCTTGATAGCAAAGTGGAGCGCACGTTCCCTTGATTATGTGCTTCGTCGAATGCTTGTTTCCAACGACAAATTCTTTACCCTCCCTCCTTTTATTTCTATCGGTTGATTTCACCTGAATAATTAACAAATTTTTGTTAAATTTGAGAACTTTTCACGAACAAAAGCTGAGACAATACAAAAGCTTAGATATTTTCTGAAGGCAGATTACCGTCGTTTGGTTTACAACCACCCAGAAGAGGGGTAATTCCCTCTCTTCTCTCGCTATCGGACTCGGCCGGTCGAGATACGAACCAATAAGTATCGAGCTAGGGAGAGAAGAAGCCGCTCGCTGAATATTTCTTATCAGTAAATTAGCAGGCTAGGTTGCCTGGCCGCTCTCGAGCTTCTTCGATGCTGATGAGCAAGGACACCCAGGAAGCGACAAGTATCCATCACCTTGCATCTATCGGGGATGAGTTTCTGATAGGAAACATTGTCCTCGTTGCAACCTTTCTTTGATAAGCGCAATGAAGTAATAAATCTAGAGGTTCGATATCAAAGTCGCTATGCATTTTATCGAACTCCGATTCCATTTGGAGAGAAAAATGTAAATGTTGTTATCTAGTTATCAACGTTTTTGAGACACTCTATAGGGCCGAATATTCCTAAATGATATAAGACGCGGTTAAATCTTTCGCAGTCGAGAAGAACGGTAGAAAAATCAGGTCATATCGTGGCCGTTCACGGATTCTTTTTCCCTCCCCTCGCCGTCGACGCGTCTCCGCTGTGTCAGCCTCCATAGAATTCGGCGCGGCAGATAATCTGAAAGAAGACGAAAAGGGATGGCTTTCCGCGCATCAGCAACGACGCTGGCTGGCTGGCCGACCGCGTTGCACACTCCCGTGAACAGTTCATTTATTATGCGGTTAGTTATCGCGTCTTTTCGTCTGATTTCCCTGCCAACAATGCGCCGTCACCGGCGCAGACAGCTCCCTTAGCGTTCTTAGAGGTAAACTTCTCTTTCCCGCTGCCAGCGACGTTTTCTCATCCGCCACTCTAAGTGACGCTCACCGAC